TTATCTAGAAAACAGTATAGTATCATTCAAGTTCCAACCTCTCCAATAAAGTGCAGGGCAGTGCATTAATCTGGTATGTGTTGGAATGTTTAACTGAGAAAGCTATGAAATCCAACTTCTCATGTTCTTTCTTTGTTTCCAGTTATTGCAGTCTTTATGGTATTCATAAGTCTTCATAACTCTCCTAATACTGATGGTGTCCTGTTGAGCATAAAACTTTTTTTTTAAATCAAATTCTTCTTCATTTTAATGCTTTTAATTTGCAAAAACCGGGGGGCAGGGAAGAAAATGAAATAGAAGAGCCAAATGGTGAAATAATATTAATAATAATAGAGGCAGAAGGAAGAATACAGATAAGCAGATCATCTTGTTTACCATACAAAACTACAGGTGAAGAGAGGATGGATGTAGAAAGTGGGTTAAGATGTGTCAAAGAGCAGCTGACTATAAGTGTACTGTGACATCAGCATATTTTGTGGAAATAGTACAGACTGAATAAAAGTATTTCATTCTCCTGAGGCTGAGAGGAAGGCCATAACTGAATGACAAGTACTGCAATGCCAGCTTAGGAGGGTTAAATTAAAGGTCATAGCCAGAAGGTATAAAAGTTTCAAGCATCTTCTCACTCTTCTTTTTTTTACTATTTATACTAAAGCTTAACTGAATGTTGGCCATCTAAATATATATATTTGAGGCATACTGCTTAGGAACATAGGACTGCAAGGGATCTCTTATATCACTGAGCCCAGCTGTTTTGGCAGATATCTCACATCATTCCTTTTTATAAATTAAGGAAGGTCCATCTTAAAACTTTTTTTAATTCTTAGTCCTTATAACAAGAGGCTGTTCCTGAATCTCCCTCCTCTGATGGTTAAACACCTTCTTCAAATTTCCCACTTAAATTTACTCTTGGCCTGTTAATACTCGTATCTTCTTGTGTCATCATTGTCTTTTATCTTAAATAGTGATCTCTCCCAAGCACTTACCCTCTCCTGTATTTATAGATAGCAAAAATACAGTCTTTCAAATGCTTTTTCATAAGGCAAGGCCTTTCCTGGAGATCAAACATAAGTATATTTAATCATAACTCCTCTCACAATGAGTTTAGCTTATGTTATAGATCTCTTTGCTTGTCAGCTCAGGGTTCAATAGAAGATAACTTACAGCTGAGGCAGGGTCAGTTACAAGTGTAAGCAAAGGTTCAAAGATGTCCCAGTATCTTTTGCTCCTGACAAAGAATAGTAAGTTTGAAAAGAGACTTTGAAGCCTAAGGGAGAGAGAATATGAAAACGTAAAAACCCATACGTTTCTCTGCCTTACCACCATTTTCATCCAGTCTGCACTATTAGGTATTATTTCCTTTTTTATTTGCAAGCAGCATACATATATGGGACTTTGAAAATACTGACAAGCAAAAATGCTCATTGGTTTCAGTGCAAGTTGATAAATGCCAGGAACTTCTGGCATAAGGTCCAAGTCACTTTACAGACAAAAAGGCATATGAATCAAATATGGAGGAGGCAGGGTGAACTTTTATAGTGCTGAAATAAATATTATGGAATGTTCTTATATAGAAAGGGGCTTATTGTGTCTGGCCAGTGAATTGATATTTGGGACTGGAGCGGGTAAAAGAATCTTTACCCCTTAGCCAAAGTCATTCACAAGTGGAGCCCTCGCACTCAGAGGAAGGAGGCACATCAATGATATTGTCATAGTTGGATGAGCAGGCTATACTCTTCTACATGGAGCAAAACTGTATCATTCCACTACACACTGGCCTGCCTAGGGAAAGGCTATGACTCCCTGAAGCATAGCTTTTGCCCACATCCCCAGTGCATTTCTACAGGTTTCTCATTTCCTTCCCCCAACATAGATGTATGGCTGGAAGGGGCCTCCTAGGCCATCAGGTGCAGTCCCCTGCTGCCAAAAAGATCTACAAGATTGTCCATTCTGATCCCTATCACCAGAGCAGTCACAAAACGCTCTTTGGAAAAAACCCTAAATCTATACATGTGCCACAGGCCAGGTAGAAATGTAGGCACTAAAAGAAAATGTTGTCATGAAGTGAATTACAATTCATTTAATCACTGACAATGAACTAATATGTCATTACTATCCTGCAGTTGATTGCAAATGATCTTAGTAATCTCTTAGGAAAGTTCTCTATCCCTTTGTAAATGCATTTTTAACACTGCAGTCGTGTGTTAGTAATGAGGTGACTGAATATTTTGAGATCGAACTGTTTTCCATTTGGAAATGCAGTTTTGTTGACACCAAAATGTTGCTTAAAAATGGAATTTTTGTCAAAACACATACACAAGAAAGATTTTTTCCTAGTCAAAATACCCAGCAGTTTAATGGTAAGGGTACTTCCTTGGGGCAGAGATATTGGGATTGAAGGCCCTGCTATCCCTGAGTTGAAACAGGGACTTGAACTCTCACATCCCAAGTATATGCTAAAACTGCTAGCTAGTTAGAGGAAGTCTCTCTTTCTTGCTTGTGTGGTTTTACAAAAGTTTTTAAAACCATTTTTTCCCTTCATTCCACATCAAAATGAAAGTAATTTCTAATACCCCTCCATGCCCCCAAGCTATCTTGGCATAAGATATGTTTATCTGGGGCCATAGCATGAATGACTGACTTGCTCACTCTGGAAAAAGTTTCTGGTAATCCAGTTGTGGCTCGATAGTAGAGAGCTAATGCGACATTGTTGATATGATACCTTTTTGATAAGCAGCTGCAATTCTTCAGACATGAATTGATTTCTATTGTCTCTTACAATCTGTTTAAGAGCTACTGTCTTTTGAAAACAATAGTCTTAATTTTTTCACTGTTTGTGCTCATTTAAATGATAATAAATACAGAACAATTCAAATGGACACCTACTGCACTCATGCAATCAAGCTTTACATGTTGCACCCCCTAGAATCTGTAGGGGTATAAAAAGACCATTGACTACATTGTGATTTAAGCTGATGAGCACAGCTTAAGTAAAGAGCAGAAGGTGCTCTCTGCTTAATGATTTATCAGTGTCTGCTTCATTGTGCTGAATTAGTTATTGTCTTATTCCCTTAAAGGGCCAGGGTTTCTAACTTTTGAAATAACTAGAACTTTTATCATTTTGGCATGCTTCTCTCTTTGTGTATACCTTCTCCTTCATTGTAAATCTTAGTTTATCAATTAATTAATTTCACAAGAGCAGTCACTTAGAAGCCTGCTTTCTATATCCTCTTAAAATAGATAACTTCTTTGCCTTGACTTTCATGGGGTACAGGATTGTGACATTTTAGACAAGATTGAGTGTAGACTTTTCTTGGTATGGAAATTGGACCCTACATGTGTGATCATGGAATGATTTACTATAATGATTTACCCCTGCTTATGCAGGGGGTCGGACTCGATGATCTATTGAGGTCCCTTCTGACCCTAAGAATCTATGAATAAGGACCTAAGTAAGCGCAGAGTGAGCTTGTACAGGCTTGTGGGGTGGTGGGACAGAATCTACACAGCGTGGCAATGAACAGAACCAGAAGTGATACACAAGAGCTAGGAAGCAATTATGGGTATGCTACATATATAAAAGTGTGCATGCTACATATATAACAGTTTTACTTACTGGGAGATGTGATTAGGTACTATCAAAAATTAAGATTGAATGTGGCACTCCTAAATCTTGATTTAGAAAAAGTGTATGATCGGGTGGAGTGCAAGTCCCTATTTGGTATGTTGAGCAACTTTGTGTCTTACCAAAGTTTCTAAGTTGGATCAAGACTTTATGCAAAGGAGCATAGTGTAGGATAAGAGTGAAAGGTCATTTAACAGATGAAGTCAAAGTCAGATCAGGTGTAAGACAGCGGTATCCCTTGTTATCACTTGTATTCATCTGTGCCATTGAGCTGTTAGCACAGAGGATAAGGATGGATTGCGTGATCGAGGATGTGTCAAGCGCTGGAAGAAAGGGCACTCAAGTGAAATGCACATTGTACATGGACAATCTTAACAAGAGAGAGTCTTCCTAAAAAAGGCTATAAGTTGTGCAAATGAGTATGGAAAGGTGTGCGCGGTGGGGCAAAATTAAACATACAAAGAAGTAAGTGCCTAAAACTGGGGAGCATGTACAACTGTAAGCTGTTGATAGGAGGGTTAGTAAAAGTAATTAAGGTGATGGTACTCGCAATTCTATTGTATGTCATCATGGTGTTCCCTCCATTATGGATCACCACCTGTAATATTCAGGGGGAACTGATGGTGTTCTTTTGGAAAACCAAAAAGGAAAGGCTTAGGAGAACACTATACAAGAAGAAAGTGAAAGGAGGATTGGGTCTCACAGATTTGTTTCTGTTCATGCAAAGTATGCCAGTGTATGCTGCAGGGAAGGGATAAAAGGAGGTACCAAATGGACTGGGTTTGTCTGGTACTATGCAGGGACATTATAGCATAGATATGATGTATGTAAAAGGTCACTGTCCTAGGCCTGGATAGTACCACCAATGTACAAGAAGATTGTAACATATGTGAATTGGTACGGGATACAGACAGTAGCCACAACAGATTTGGTGGACCATAAAAAAAAAAGTCAAGGCCTGAGTTAGAAAAGAAAACTGTTCCTAGTAGGGAGGTTTATAGAGGAAGAAGCATGGACAATTTTGAAGGGGTGTTTGACAGAAACTTACAGAAACAGCACGAGGGGCATTTTTACACATGCTGCAGGATGTGGAGCCAGGTGCTTTAATTAGCAAGCCATACTAATTAAAAGTGCCCATGTGTCATATGTATCAGAGGTGCAGTGTGTCCCAGTGCTGAAAAAATGTCAGCAGAGCACTTTGAACTAAAGCTCATTGAACTTGTTTTATTTCAAAGCTCCCCACCGCCATTTTTCCAGCACAGAGACGCGCTGCACCACTGATACACATAATGCGAAAGGCTGCTGGAGTGTATTAATTTCTGTGCTCCAGCAGACTTGATTAATCAAGTCTGCTCTGATGCACTGGATTTCCAATATGTCGGAACAGCCTTTGTGTACATGTATAGGTGTCCCAGGATTTCAGCTGGCTGATAGCAATTTGGATGTTACCTGTACAGGCACTCCATTACAGCTGGGGACTTTGCTGTGCTGTGCTGTGCTGTGCTGTGGGGGGAAGGAAACATATGGCATATGATGTGGGAGTGTCAGTTTACCAGAATGGTCTGGGGGAAGGCAGAGAAACTCCTACAGTGACTGCATGCTAAGAGCCAATTAATTCTAGGAATGGTTCTGTGCAGACTGGGTGTCACTGCCCGCTTTGTTCTTTTGCGCTGTCACTGGGGTCTCTGGCTCTTCAGTCCTCCAGTTTCCACTTCCTGCCCCTATCTCTGGGAGTGGGGCCACACAGGATAATACCATGAGGTCCACAGAGTCCATGGCCTGGGGACTTGGGGTTGAGGGGAGAGTCTGCTACCCATGCAGCAGAAGGTATCCACACTGTGGTATAGCTCAAAGGGGAGTCCCATGCCATGTGGTAGGGGGTGTGTGGAAAGAGGGGGGGCTCTTGAAATAAGTCCTATTGCTAGCTCTAGTTCTAAACACCTTAAAATTAATGGACTTTTTTGAGCCAAAGACTGTTTGTACTCTTCACTTGTAAGTGTTGCCCAACTATGAGTACATTTATGCAGCAAACTAAATCAATGCCAGCCTTTACTTGGAGTGACTTAGGCAATTAAGTCAATTATAGAGTTTACAATGATAGGTTCTGAATTCATAAGTACAAACCCAAAGTTTATTATATAATAGTTCTACTTTCTGCAGTATCACGCCAAATAGATTTAAATGTACAATATTCCAAAAAAACCCTAGAACAATGGGAGATATACTAGTAAGCAACTTGCTTTTTGCTTTTCTGCCAGCTCGTTTAAATTTAAATATATCCTACTCTCTTTACTCATGGGAGGAGTCCAGTAGATTTCAACGAGCCTACTCGTGTAATTAAAATTTGGCACACAAATAAATTGTAAGATGCTGTTTTCTACAGTTCTACCCTGGAGTTAAAGCATATTTGTTTGAAAATAAGTTGGGTATCTAAGCAGATTGTGTTACCCTCAGATTAGTCAACTGAAACCTAAATATTTGCAGCTACTTTTTACTCATTCCATGTACTATTTTTATTATGGTATTAATAGCACCCATTCCTGCAGTTCTAACTTGGGTGAAACTACCATTAACTGTCACAAAGAATTGCCTGTGTAAGAACCATTGCATTAGGCTTAAATATAGTAGCTCCTTTCGTGTGGAAGGATGAAGTACTTTGTATTCCATATATTAGAGTTATGTAAATCATTTGCTTAACGAATTCAGCTTCTTCCTTCAATCGGCTTTTTGTTCTGTTTGTTTGTTTGTTTGTTTTTCATTCATAATGAACAATTTGCTGAACAATTCTTAATGGTTAAAATTAGAACTGTTATTGAATAGTTGTGATTTGTCATGTAAGTGATGAAGTTTAGTGTCTGTTCCCTTATTTGGTAAAGGCGACAAAGACTTACAGAAACTACTTGGCTTCTGAGATTTCTCTGAGACCTTTTGAGTTTGGGGAAAGGCAGAAACACAACTATGAAGTTTACAATACACATGATTATGTAATTTTTTAATCATAGCTTGTCTTTTCTGGGTCATATGTGCCTTGCTTATTTCCCCCCCAATATAAGGCTACAACAGGATTTATTTATTATGGGCTGACTTCAAATGCAATTCCTTTTCACACATAGGGAAAGGAAATTTGTGTCAATTACTTGTGTAAGAGATGGTCACATTGTAGTCCGGCTCCTTTAAGTGCCATTATGATAGAACTCTGGTGTGGGATCTTAGGAATCTGATCCTCCCATTATAACCATCAGCATACCCTGTTATACAAAACAGAATATTAAATTATTGTGTTTATCAGGCTGTAATTTGCTGATCTCACTATAATCACTGAAACAAAGCAACTGTGAGTGTGTGCATGTGCTTAGCCCTACGATAAAAGATGTGGTTAGAATGATCCTTGTTCAACTTGTTTAATTGCCTCTAAGTCTGTGCCAAGGATTTAGTAAAAGCTTTCAAAAACCCTGTCAGCCTTCTCTGGTAAGCAGTGTCCAATCCAATATAATATATGCCACTTTCATTGCAAATGCTCAAGCACACAAGCTTCTAACATGCTTTCTATTAGCATTCATGTGAATAAAGCTCAGTCGCTCAAACGTTCACAGAAATGAACACAAAGGAACGTGAGCATAGCTGAAACAAATTTGCTGTTAAATTCAGGTGAGCACTTATGAAACATTTTTTCAGTGTTCCCTTAGCTCTGTAGTTTCTAAGTTTCTACACTTTTGCTTGATACATGCATTTCCAAGAATGCCTCCAAGAATGGTTTTCAAACTTTGGATGCAAAGTTGGATGTGAAATCAGATTTATTTTCAACCAAAGGTAACACATGTGGAGAACGTGGATATTTTGCATTTATTTCACATGGATTTATGGCATTCAGTTGAGATGAATGGGGCTATTCATATTCTTTTTGATGCATTGTTTCAAGCTGTCTGCAGACTCAGGAGGCATTGCTACGTTAGTTACATACGGCCCATATTCTGAATCTTCCTAGCATAATCATAGGGGCTTTGTAAAAGTCTAAACAGGACTGAGGTAAAATTGTAACACCTAAGTCACTGAGTGATCCAGATTGACCCAGTTCAGTAGCCACAAAATTACTTTGGCAGCCTAAACTCCGTAGGTATTAGATTTTGTATTGGGTACTAGATTTTGAACTGAAAAATCCCCTATGTGCCAAGACTTAAGCTATTAAGAATGCTCAGAAGCAATCCAGATCAATCAGATTGGTGGTCCGTTCCCAAGTAAATTTTATTGTAAATCCAAATATGCTGAGGCAGTCACAGAGCAGGCCAAGCAATTGTTTGCTGCTGACAGCTGGTGGTACTTGCCTTTCAGCCTAGTTTGTCTGCTGGTAATCAGGCAATCAGAGACCTGGATTCTAGGTTTCATTCTGTGGATGCCCAAGCCTACATCTCTAGGGGAGTACTGTAGTCACCAGACAATGGCCTAGGATGGGTTGCGGACCTCTCTTGCCAAGGTTTTGCCTGGTTTTTAACCAATGATTGTCAAGTGTTTGTCAAAATGAATAAACAGCTCTAGCAGGAAGAACTGGAATCCAGGACTCCTCTTCTCCCATGGGAGCACTGTAACCACTAAGCTACAGTTATGTACCCACCTGCTTGCCTACCAGACTTTTATGCATTTCTAATTTGGTTAGCTGTACGTGCCTCTGCTCATCACCTACATGACCTGAATTTTATGCGTAGGAGGTTCTGGTGTCTCCCCATTCACTCTACAAAAGAACAAGACACTTTAACCCTGTGTACTGGAGACATTTACAAACACTGATTTGGATCTGGCTTAATATATTCAAAGCAAAACTTATATTTTGGAGCATGGTTATACTGCAATTCTTTTTTAGTATGTGCTTATCTGTGTCCACAAGCATGGCCACATAATTATGGTATAGATCAGTGGTTTTCAAACTATGTCCAGAAGAACCCTAGGGCTCTTGCAATAGGTCATCAGGGGCTCCACAGAGAGATTGGGGGTAGAGTCAGGGTGAGCTGGGAGATGGTGCATCACCATTGCCAGGCTGGGTCTCCTGGCTTCACATCAGCTTTTGTGGCCCACAGAGCCAGGAATAGGAGTTCTGTGACAAAAAAAAAAGTGATATGAAAGGAATCCATGACTTTAGGAAGTTTGAATGCCACTGAAGATGGAACTCTGATTACTAATTAACTAAACCATATCAGACTGCCATACTCAAGCACTGTCACCATTCATCCTTCATTCTTGAGTTTATCAGCAAGTGATATTTGACTTGAGATGGCTCACAAAAGGATTTACATTGACATATTGAAATAGCCAACTAGGAATTAAGAGAGAAAATGTCTTTTTTCCAGTTTTTAATGAAATATAATCATCAGTGGTTTCTGTATATACATATGCCTCAAAACAAATGATTGAGGTAAGCAGTTAGCTGGTTAAATTAGGATGCAATCCATTCTTCCTTAATTTCTACCCATAGATCCCTTATCATTTATACTAACTAAAATGTCATTATTTTGACTTTGTCTCTACAGATATGACTAATTTATACTAATGTCAATGCTTGCCGTCAAACTATCAAATTAAGGCATTGGTCACATGATGCCTTGGTAACAGTGTAATCTGCCTCTACACTTGTCTTCCAGTTCTCAATGGGCACCTATACACATGCAGTGAGGCTACTCTGACATGCTGCAATGACTGCACACCAGAGCAGACTCGATTAATCAAGTCTGTTGAAGTGTGGTAATTACCACACCCCAACAGACTCCAGCGTCACGTGTATCAGCATCCCCGTGCTGAAAAAGGATGCTTTAAAGCTTGCTTGATGAGCTTTAGTTAAAGAATCCTTGCCACCATTTTTCAGCACAGGGATGCTGATAGAAATTATACTCCCGGCGCTTTAATTAGAGAGAGTCTCAGAGCCACTCTATAAATGCCCGATATGTGAAATTTTACTATGATATATTTATGTAAAGTCAAGGTAATTTATTTAAATGTATAAAGTGTAGAAATAAACCACCACTAAATTAAACTATGTGGCTACCAGGTAAACTTTAACTTTATATATTTTCAAACTGTAAGAGAAAAAATTAGGACATCTTTCAAGTTAATGATTAGCTCAAACATATTCACAAATCATTTTGCTTCTTGGATACTATTTAGCACAAGTATTGGAGCAACTCTCTCAATAGATCAATGTAAACATTTACACATTTTATCTTTGTCTTTGTTTAACTCATTCTTGATTCTGATTTGACCATGACTAATAGAATTATAATTCTATAATTTATAATTTATTTCCTGAGATAGAGATTAAGTATGAAAATGAAGGCCGTAATCCTCTGTGATTTAAAGTCAGTGGTAAGTTTACCGTTGACTTCAATGAATACAGTAAGATTTATTGTGAATTTGACCCAATGCCTTTTCAAGTTAGTAAAAAAACCTTCCACTGACTTCAGAAAACCTTGGAACCAATTTTTTTCTCTGAATTATGCAACAACACTGAAGTCAGTGAACCTACTTCAGATTTACCTCAATATAAATGAAAGCAGAATTTGACCCTATTGAATGTTCCTTAGTATACATGGTGTTTTCTAGTACATTCTTGTCTAAAAATATCCAACTAGGTAGCATTATCCCTGATTCTTTCTGTCTACTCAGTGTTCCATTTCACTTTACACAGCTCATATTGAATTATATAGAAAGAGATGAATGGTTTGCAGTGGGTAATTGCATTTTAAACAATAAGAAACCTTGAAATAAATTAATTTGATAGCTACAGATGCTTTGGGATGTATGATCTGTGACTCTCACAGTGCAGCACCATCATTAAATTGCAGTGCAAGCATATGATTTTAATTCTTTTGGTAGTACAGGGATTTGATTTTGTGTTGACAGCAAGAATTGTATGTCAATGTACAGTGGCAATGATGCTTGTTTTCTAGATAGGCAAATAAATGACAGGCGGAGAAGGCAAACAATGCACTGGATTAAACTAGATTTCTGAAGTAGGTATATGATAACTCAGAAATATCTATTTTAAAAGTCTTTCTAGAATTGTTCATGAAATTAATTCATGAGCTAACAGTGAATAATTGAACCTAGGAATTTGAAGTGTAACCACCGCAGGCAAACCTATCATATGAAAACTCTGCATTGTCTTTTAAAATACTGAAGACCCAGGCATTTCAATCAATATCTCACTATTGTCTAAGTAAGGAGCATCTCAAATGAAGTTTATTGACTGTTACTGATGTAAAACCACAGCATCAGTGAGAAGAAAATTAGGCTCATTGTTTCTTACCCAAGATCTATACATTCTGGTCTAAACAGCTATGAATAATTTATTTACACATTTGAATTTATAAATTGAGCACCCAAACCATTATTCATGGGGGAAAATTGTTAATTACTGTCCTAAGGCTTATGAATATTTGTCAATAAATGTGTTCTATTCAGCAATTCTTACCACACGCAGTTCTAAAAAATGAGAGAGATGTTTTGGGATTAGGCTGTTCCTGAATTGCCTTCACCATGCTTTAGGGAAAACATTGATTAATGAGCAGAATACAAGGAAAAAATCTGTCTTCTCTCTGGATGAATTTTGGACAGACCATGCCAAGCCTGCCACAACACTTAGGCCCTTCATTTACTCTTGATAGCATGAACGGCATGTGCCCCTGGCAGCTGCGGGGGCACAGCTGTGCTGGAGGTGGTGGGAGCACAGTGGCAGTGGCAGGAGTGCGGCGGCAGTGAGTGAGGAGCACCCACAGATGCCACCGGCACTGTCAATGGTGGTGGGTGGTAGTGAGCCCTGACCAGGAGTCGACGACCACCTGCAGGTGCTGCTGGCAGTGCATCAGCCAGCAGGGATTACTGACTGCCCGCAGACACCACTGGCAGTGTCAGCAGTGGGGTGATGAGTGGTGACCACCCACAGGAGCCACCGGCAGTGTCAGCCGCGCCTTTTTGCAGGGAGTGCACTGCCATGCTCAGGGGGTGCACATGCACCCGTATGCACCCCCTATGCATTGCCCCTGCTTGATAGTAGGGGGAGCATAAGCAAAAGAACTGCGCAAGTGGTTTGTAAGCTACCAGAAAATGGTATTCAGACTGACACAAGTAGACCATTATCCTATTGACAAATGGTAAGTAGGGGGCTCCAGTGGCCTCAGAACCCCAAAAATAGCTTAAGCCTTCTTCAGCCTTCTCTGTAAGGGACAGAAATGAGTTGCTGTCTGTAACTTTGCTTAAAGATTAAAGCTGAATTAAATTGAACCTCCTGTCATAAATCTGAATAGCTAACGTTTTACATATTTGATACCTCCCAACTTATGCATATTATTAAACTACTAGGGAAAATATATCTGTGGTTGATAATGAAGAGAACCTATTACAGTAAATATGATTTTTTTTTCATTCAGTTAAGGCTTACTGAATTTGTCCCTTGGTATTTAATTATTTTCACCTGGAACACCATGTTTTCATTCGCAATGTGTGTGACTCACATGTTAAAAAATAATACTAACAAGAATATTATTATTTAGCAAGCTAAGTAGTATATTCTAATATTATAAAAGCCTAAGTCAGTCTGCTGTCCCTAACGCTTTAGTCATGCTTTGATTGGCTGACAGACAGCCAATCAGAGTGCAAACAAGCATTCCAACAGGACCTGGCAGTGGTGGAGTGCCACCATGATGGTGGGGACACAGGGACAGAGAGTGGGGAAGCTGCTGGCCTCGGCTTCTCCACCCCGCTCCCTGCAAGAGAAAGAACAGCGGCTGAATGGGGCATTAGGTGGTAGCACTCCATCCCAGCCCCCTCCACCTCGTCATTCTTGACAGACAATTGGCTAGTTTTTTAAATAATGCTAGTTTTTTAAAAGTTAAGCTAGTAGTGATGTCTGAAAGCTCTTTAGACTGAAACCCTTTGCTTAACCAGGAAAGTTATGGGAAGAAAAGTGTCTCCCTTTTTAGTCACATGCTTCTCTGTAGAGGTGGTGTTTGGGATGTGCTAACAACGTTCTACTAAAAAGGTGCACTAGGATCATAAATTAATTTCACACAATTGCAGAATCTATGAGCAGCCATGGAACAGCAATAACTTTGGCCAGTGGACTTTCTTTAGGTAGTTTTTTTGGATTAGAAATAGAAGTTTCAGCCTGGCTACCCATCCCCAAAATTGTGGGGGCAGCATCATGGGACAGAGTATTGGACTTCTGTTATTCTCCATACTTCAAGCATGTGGCTTATTTCTATTCACAGGCTGCTGGGGATTTTACATATGCACAATTATGCCTTCCCACACAGCCACAGAAGACATTATAGCAGATGTGGTGTAATTCAGTCTCTAATTTGTGTTTTTCTTCCGTTTTCCTCTGCAGATAGTAACTTCATCCTTGCAAATGCTCAGGTGGCTAAGGGATTCCCCATAGTTTACTGTTCAGATGGCTTCTGTGAGCTTGCTGGATTTGCACGAACTGAAGTCATGCAAAAGAGCTGCAGCTGTAAATTTTTACTTGGTGCTGAAACAAACGAGCAGATGATTCTTCAAATTGAGAAGTCATTGGAGGAAAAGATAGAATTCAAAGGAGAAATCATGTTTTATAAGAAAAACGGTGAGTCTTGTTTCTTTCATCAGTGTTCTATTAATTCCAGACAAAGTGTGAAATTTACTATTATTCAGTATAATGGTTATATAATATCCACTCGTGCTGAGGATATTGTGTGTCACAGCTCAAGAGTTACAAAAATGGATTTGGATAACAGCCGTGTTGTTAGCTATGTGAATATATATGTAGAAGTTGTGATACCTATATTGTAAATTAAAGGGTTATGTGACAAATTGCAGATCCTCAAATTGCATTGTGGAACAGTATCTTGTTCAGGCCATAAGATGCATCATATAAAGCTGTATTGTGATGGTACTTAAGTACTTGTCTGTTGTGTTGAAAGTTTAACCAAAGAATTTAACTGAAACTCGGCTTCAGATGAGACCAAATTTAGAAAATGTCAGCCCCCCCAGGTTAAGTTATCAGGAAGTTTTGAATGGCCTAAAATATTCATTCATTGCAGCTGCTATGACAAACATAATAATATGGGTTTATGACAAACATAATAGCTAAGATGTTAAAAAATGGGGGATTAGGAACCAGCTTTTTAGTCCAGAATTTAAATAAAGTAGCAAGATTTGCTAGGCATTGGGCACGTCTACACAAGATGCTTTACTGCACAGTAGACTTACTGACTGGACGTAGTCTTTCTGGACTTCAGGAAGGCTTTCAACACTGTCTCTCACCCTATTTTCATTAAAAACTAGGAAACTCTGGCGTCGACACCTACACAGTCAAATGGGTCGCTAACTGGCTGGAGGGCCGCACCCAGAGAGTGGTGGTGAATGGGTCATTTTCGACCTGGAGGGATGTGGGTAGTGGGGTCCCCCAGGTCTCAGTCCTCAGATCCGCACTGTTCAACAACTTCATCAGTGACTTGAATGAGGGGATAAAAAGCACCCTATTCAAATTTGCTGACAACACTAAGATGGGGGGGATGTGGGTGTGCTAGAAGGGAGGAATAGGCTGCAATTGGACCTAGACAGGTTACAGGGGTGGGCAGATAAGAACAGGATGGGTTTCAACACTGACAAGTGCAAGATGCTACACCTGAGGAGGAAGAACCAGCAGCATACCTACAGGCTGGGGAACTCCCTTCTTGTCAGTGCAGAGGCAGAAAAGGATCTTGGAATCATAATTGATGCCAAAATGAACATGGTCCGACAGTGTGCGGATGCAGTCAGGAAGGCCAACCACACCTTGTCATGCATCCACAGATGCATCTCAAGCAGGTCCAAGGAGGTGATCCTCTCCCTCTATGAGGCACTGGTCAGGCCGCAGTTGGAGTACTGTGTCCAGTTCTGGGCACCGCACTTCAGGAGGGATGTGGACAGCATTGAGATGGTTCAGAGGAGGGCCACTCGCGTGATCAGGGGTCAGCAGGGCAGGCCCTACAAGGATTGGCTAAGGGACCTGAACCTGTTCAGCCTCCACAAGAGAAGGCTGACGGGGGATATAGTGGCCTGTTACAAACTAGTCAGAGGGGACCAGCAGGCATTGGGGGAGTCCCTCGTCCCCTGAGCACTACCAGGAGTGACTAGAAATAACGGTCACAAGCTGGCAGAGGGTAGATTCAGACTAGACATCAGGAGGCGCTACTTCACTGTCAGGGTGGCTAGGATCTGGAACCAACTTCCAAGCGAAGTGGTGCTGGCTCCTACCCTGGGGGTCTTTAAGAATACATACCTTGAGGTAGCAGGCGTGGTTTGTGAATACTGCGATGCTGGGGTACATGGAGCATCCTGCAGGAGTGCGGGGTGGGAGGCCCTCCACATGCTTGGTGGCAAACCCAGAAGTGGACCAGAAATACATCCGGTACACTTCCAGGTCTTCCAGGGGGCTCCTCCCCATGCCCCGCTGGCTCAGTGATCAGCCATGGGGGGACCCGGATACCCACCCCCCCCAGACCTAAGAGGCATCAGATGCTGAGCTGGGGGAGCACTGGGGGGCAACCCCTGTGCACTCTCTGGCAGATCCAGAAGTGGACCGGATGTGCTTCTGGTCCACTTCCAGGTCTGCTGCCAAATGCACTGGGGGATGTTTCTGTGGAACACTCCATGTGCCCCAGCATCACAGCATTGATGAGCTGCCTGGTACCTGAGGTATGTAGAAAAAAACGTTTAAAGCTGCATCTGTGACCAAATCGCTGAATCTTTCTGAACATCTCGGAATCAATTTGGAAGGATCCAGTTCAATTTGGAGAGATTAAAGGGTCCTTTGATTTGATTTGGATTCAGAGATTTGGCCACCGAATTAGGCTGAATCTCCACCAAATTGAATCAAGGACCGAAGCTTCGCAAAGCCCTATAAGTACCTCAGCATCATGTGTATTCAGCTTCCCACACTTCAAAATCATGGTAGGGATGCTTGAACTAAAGTCTGTTCAACAAGGTTTCATTCAAGCACCACCACCACCATTTTGAAGTGTGGGGACGCTGAATAGACATGACACAGAGGCTGCTGCGCATTAATTAACATGCTTCAATACACTTGATTCTGCTCCAACAGGTGCTAATCAGCACATGTCAGAGCAGATGTCCAGCGTATATATAGATGTCCTAGGCTATTATATGAAAACATGGGAGAGTCCCTTGTTCCCCCCACCCCGCTGCCCATTTTTCTTTTTAGTTTTTGCAGGCAAGTGTGCAAAGAGTTTTTGCTGCAGGGTGTGTCCCAACTGGCATAAAAGTATCAAAAACTGCAGTTATGTGGCTGCTTATGTGCCATTCAGTTGTATAAAGAGAAATAGGATTTTGCCCTTGTGTCTGCATGGAAGAAATATCAACAGCAACAGCATTGACGACAAATATCAGTCATTAAAAAAAGGAAGAGTTGGGTTGGTATCTGCATATTTGTGGCCCAGTAATATGGTTGATCCAGTAACATGGTCTCTCTTCCACCTTTGCACTGATGGTGGGCTTCTGCAATCCACCTACTAAGAAAAGCTCCCAAATACCTCATTTCTACATTTTCATTGATTTGTTTTTGAAGTATAGCATTCAAGGGTGATGTTCAACCACACAGATTAGTGGAAGTGCAATTGATAAAATTCTGTGTGAATGAACGCAAACATTTAAACATCTTTTAGATCTTAAACCTGTACACCATTGTCTATCAGCTCTTAAGTTTAATTTTGAGTTTAGTGGTACATTTGTTTATGGAATTCTAAGCACCTATTTCACAACTCTCGTTTAGTGTTTACTTGCTTCTGCAATGCTTACCTGTAGAATTGTTTTACATTTGTATTATACATTTTAAGATGAATATTTTAAAATGATATATTATGAGGAAAAGGGAAAAAGTGTATTCAAAATAGGAGGAAAATGTTCCCTTTTCTGGCAAGTACAAAAGGGGAAAAGGTAGTGTAGTATTTATAAATATCAAGTAAATGTGCATGATGCTATCTTTAATGTGTCATTTTATGTAGAAACATTTTGAAGATGTAGCAAAATGCCTTCCTTGCCAGCTCTTAGCATTTAAAAGAAAATGCCCCATAGTGCCTTGAACTCATGTTCAGGGAAACTGATTCAAGGAGGGTGGTTATTGATTCGCAAATCCTGTTTGCATATGAAAAATGTTCTTGTTCCAGAAGCTTCAGGGCTACTTTAGCATTATTGTATAGTGGTGACTAAGCACAGTTGTAAGAGAAGAGATTTAAGTTTAACTAAATGGAAAAAAATAGAGACATTTGTGCTCACTGGTTTGCACCTGGGGTGTAAATTGCATTTCTCCTGGCACTCTGAGTGGTGAATCTAGCCAGTAACATATATGTTGTTAATAAAGACAGAAAAAAGAGTAGGTAGATTTCTGTTGCAATTAAGCAGTTGGATCACAAATTAGTAGAGGGGGACAAACTTGTTCAGATAAAAGATTTCCCACCTACCCCCACCTCCTACACCTTTATGCATAATTTAAATCAAACTCATACAAAATCACTTCTGAGGTATGAACAATTTCCTTTTATCAGCCACTACATTTTATTTCCATGTATTTATGCATGATTTAGAAGAGGAGTGACAATGCAAAAATACCATGAGAGAGACCACTCTTGCATCTGAAGCAACAAAGGCAAAAAAATCTCCCAGCAAGGCTCTTGTTGTTTTCCCAAATCATGTTCCAGTGTGCTTGTTCAAAATATTGGGCAAAGCCTTAATACTTTTGGAACATGTATCTGAAAAAATAGAATAGAACTTCTGAATTAGGTTTGTTCTGCAGTAGCAGCAGAGTTTTTAGAGGGCTTTTTTGATATTCCATGAAGGCTCTATAATGGTCATGTTTAAAAACACCTTTAAGAAAAGAAGAGTACTTCATTGAGCATTATGGCCCAAATTTTTAGCATCATCTAAGAATTTCTATACAAATGGGAAGTAGATCAAAGGTGGCATTAATGTACTTTTAGGCTCCCCTGATGGCCAAGAATTTTGTGATAGGCTAGGTTCACTGTTTACATGGGTGTGTCCACGTGTGTACTTAACTGCAGAATAGACTAATTAGCTGCAAAGTAAAGCATCACTGTCTACACATGCAGCTCTATTAGGCTGCAGTAAACTAATTAACACTGCTGTAAGATAGCACTGTCAGGAACAGTACTATCTTATGGTGGGGTAATTTACTGCAATTAAACGCATGTATAGATACAGACCACAGATGTAAATTGTGCCTGGTCAGCCCATCCAGCAGGGGGGAAGATTCCTGCCTCCCACCTAGCCATGTTGCTCCACAGTTTCAGCATCCTTGTGATCCAGTCAGCCTCAATGCTTCCCAATGCCACTACCCAGAGAATGGTGCATCCCCCATGCTGCCTGCCAGCCAAGGCCTACCCCCCAGACACTGGGCCCACTGCTACCACCACCCACTATCCAGCCCTGCCCCCCCAAGCCTGCTGCCAACCACTGCCACTCACCAGAGCCTGGTTGCTGTGGCAGGACAGAGCAGAGCAGGAGCATGCCTGACAAACTGCTCAAATTGCTGCCGTCCTGGGTGTACGTGTAAATGCTGTGCCCGGG